AAAGCATTTGGAGTGTTGCCTAGTACTCTAGTGGAGCAGGGCCCAGCTGAGCAACTTTTTATCTATATCCAATTGATCAAATTCAAGATTTTAAGGCATTTGTTAGAAATAGGTTTCATTGTTTAGATATTTCTGCCTCTCTGAAGCTCAGAATTTATTACATTTTCACTTCTGAGGATATAGATATAAAGCACGTTGACATTATGTTGGATAGTTTTCTCTATTTGTGTATAATTAATCTGGTCATTCCCAAATTGGTATGCCTCATTCCAAATAGCCTATTCTATGTGGAATCACATTACTTCTGTTTGTTTCGTTTCTGTGTCTTTTATAAAGTTGATTAAGAACAAGTGAATTAATAGCTACGTGGCAAGAATACATATGATGACAAAATTGCAAAACCATTATTTTGCCCTTTTTAAATTTGTAATAATAATAATAGAGATGATATTACAAGCCATATACTATATCCTTGTAAAAGTTTTAAGAAACCAATAATAAGTATTTCTACATTTGCTACCTAATGGTATGATACAAACAAACATCTATCAAGATAAAAATAAGGTCCACATGCACATCAACTGTCTTTCATATGTATCTTTCATAAATATCATAACTGTCGGGCCCCACATGAACCACGGAGGGAGGGTGAGGCTCCTAAAATAAAGAATGACATTTTAAGTGCACAGCTATTACAAACTCATTTGATATTCATTTTAATTGCAATGGCTATAATGAATATACTTTGTATTCAAACAGATGTCACAAGTACTTCTACAGAACTTCCAATATAATTCAGTCTTAGTTAAGAATGACTAAATGGATATTTAAAATCGGATGGTACCATGAAGGAAGAAAAAGTCAATTTCAGCAAACATTAGCTCCTTAAAACAACAAATTAAAGATTTTTATGAAACTGACTTCCTTCCTATTTTTATCTGTACACAGAACTGTGTCCTAGAGGACTGGCTGGGTCAACCTCTCTTTTTCCTTGGGTTAGCGGTTCTAATATAGAGCTACCCAGAAGGGAGAAATTGGAAGTATGGAAAATGAGTCTGAAGGGTAGGCTGGAATTCACTTGACAATATTTAAAGACTGTTCTATCAAGCAAATTAAAAATAGTATCAATACCAATGTTTAACTGAAGTAGGTAATTATGCCATTTACTTCAGTCAGTTAGACAAGCCCTGATATTCCCTTCAATCTTCTCCCGCAGGAAGCAACAATACCTTCAACTCCAACATGACAGAACTTCAAGCCATAACTAAAGGCTTTGTTTTCCAATCATGGCGCACAAAATCACCCACAGATGTGTGTTAAAAGGCACCATTCCAGGGCCCCAATCCAGCCCCCAGAAGCCTGGGGGTGGGCCATGGAATCAGCACGTGAACAAGAAAACTGAGCATTCTGATGCACATTCCTGATGAAAAGCAGTTGCCGGAAGGTTGGACAAGATAATATGAAAGCTATATATTATTAATTCTATTCAAATCAGCTAGCATTTATTAAAAAACATATCCTATGAATGAAAGATTTTAGGTTAGAAAATGTAACTAGCAGATTGCTTTAAAACAAGTTTACCCTGTTTTCCCTGAAGCTTTGTATGCCTTGCATTTCACAGATGCGTGAGGCTTCTTGGTGGTGGTTGAGAGCGAGAGGCAAGACCATCTGGGTATCAGCAGGGAAGAGAGGGAGCTGACCCAGGAGAGCAGGAGCCCTGCAGGTCAGCGCCTTTCCCCCTCCAGCTGGGCTCTCCCCTCCAGCTGGGCTCCCCTAGTGCCTAAACTGAAAGTTGAACTTACTTGGATGCCATATTGTGCTTTTTAACCACTAGAGAAATATGCAACACTTAAGTTGACTTTGGAGTTTAATAGAAGTAGGAAGAAAACAAGGAACGTAAAGCTGAGGGCACCAAGTTCTCTTCTGATCAGCAATTCGCCCTGCTCCCATCCCAGGACAGAGAATAATCCACTGGATCTGCTTGTCACAGTTTAAGACCCTTGGTTTTCCAAAGACCTTGGCTGGGTCTTTCCCACATTCGAAACAGGATTCAATAAAAATGCTGTAGGAAGTAAAGGTATTTCACCACGAAAGAAAAGGGGGCCCTGAAACACACTGTCCCTGAATTTCCTGTTTTGTTTACAAAAACCTATCCAACTTAAAGGAATAGAGCCATCCTGGACTGGAAAACCCAGATGCATATTACCTTGAAGGACACTGCTTTCTCTCATGCACAGTGGCACCGAGGATAAGTTAGTGCTGACTGTAAAAAGCCACCTTCTTAACGTCTGCCAAGACCACTAGTCCTTGGGATGCTGCTCATACAAGCAAACTAAGCAGGCGGATGCTCATGATGTCACTGCTTCTGCAGCCTGACGTGAAAGCCCCCTCTGAGTGAGGATGGGTGTGAATTTGAGGGCACTGTGGGAGGGGGGGTCGGTGCAGCTGGCCGCCACTGGACAAAACACCACAAGGGAGAAGACACGCTGCGTGGCAAAGCACCCTCAGGGATGGAGGTGCCATCATCAGCCTGGCCTCACTCTACTCCTCTTGGAGCAGCCTCAGATCTCCTGGAAACTTCCTCCAATGAGTCACATGACTTCCAGGCTCCCTGAGCACTTTGACCTGTGAGCAATCCACCTCCCTGCCCTGGCACCATGGGGATGTGGCTGAGACAGGTCAACAGACACAGCGCCTGAGCTGTAGGGACTTTTCCCCCTCGTCCATCAAAGCAGTTTTCAGAGAGTGGTCTGTGGGCAAGTTATCATGTTTGTCTGCTCTGGCTGCCTACAAAATATCATGCACTGGGCGACTTAGATGGCAAGAATTTATTTTCTTGGAGTTCCAGAAGAGAGGAGAGTACGATCACATTGCCGGTGGGTTCAGTTTCTGGTGAGGGCTCCCGTCCTGGCTTACAGGAGGCCTCCTTCTTGTTCTATCCTTACAGGGCAAAGAAGGAGAAGAGAGAGAGCATTCTCTCTCTATCTATTCTTCTTTTAAGGCCACCAATCCCATTGGATTAGAACCCCACCATTAGGACCTCAATCAACCTGATTACTTCCTAAGAGCCCTATCTCCCAAGACAGTCCTTCTGGGGGTCTGGGCTTCCACATATGACGCCTGGGGGAGACCAGGGAGTCCACGGCACCCATCACTAATGCAAATTCTCAAGCCCCATCTCAGCTCCACCGAGTCCAAACCTTAGGGAAGGGGCCCAGCACTTTGTGCTTCACTAACCTCTGCAGGTTGTTCTCGTGCCCGTGAAGGTCTGAGACGCCCCGGCCTCCAGGATCAAGACTCACCCCTCAGCACACACTTCCCTCCACACCTACGCCCACTCCCACTGTGGGCTTGTTTCCTGTTGCACTTCCCTCATGGACGCTCTTTGGCTAAACTTCTCAGCAGGACCTGAGGGCTCACTCACATCACTCAGGCTGTCTTTCCAGACGTTTGCTCACGCTCTGCCATCAACCCATAATTGCCTTCTGCCTCTTTAAGGATGCATTTCCTCAACAGCCCAGCCATACACATCTCTTCTCCAAACAAGGGCACATTTTCGGAATCAATGATCTTCATATTTTATAGGGTTTCTTAGAGTCCACAGGATATGCCGTCTTAATTACAACACAAGACTTTTCACGTGGGAAGCATTCAGTGTCCCAATGTGACACCCACCAATTTGGTTCCAACTCTTTTCTGCAAGCTACTCCCAACAACATTGGCTCCAAACTCAGTACCACTTTGGGGCATCACATTGCCTACTGACCTCTAGCAGAGCACAATGTCATTTCCAAAGTTCCATAATATTTTTCAAGAATCAATATACCATTTGCTACTTTTGTCCTTAAATGCCTCAGACCCTATAAATGCTTCATATATTACCCCATTGAGTTCTCACAGTTCCCTTATAATAGGCATTATGTTCTGTGCTTGACAGAAAAAGACACTGGAAACAGGCTTAATATCAAGAGATCTATTGTACACATGAGGACTCTAAGTAATAACAATATGTTGTGTTCTTGAAAAATGCTAATAGAATAGAATTCAGGTGTTCTCGCCACAAAAAAGATAAGCAACAATACGCTAATTAGCTTGATTAATCCATTCCACACTGTATACATATTTCAAAACATGCACATGCTAAATATATACAACTTTTGCCTATAAATTAAGTAATTTTTTTTTTTAGAAAAGAGTTCAGTTAACTAAAGTCACATACATGGAAAATGGGAAGGTTGCAGATTATAAAGACAGACTTCTTTAACTCAAAACACATGCTTATTTCCACTCTGCTATGTTCTAAGCCAAAGGATCAGTTTTCTGTTCACATCTTGGGTTTAGTGCCAAAACCTCCAAAGCACATGACCCCTTCTTACAGGTAGGCTGTCTCCATTATATACTTTGGGACCTTTTTTTTTTTTCCCCTACAACCCAAAACAGTCTTATGCAGACACGTGTTTGCATGTACACACACACTACTGCATGGCTCAAGGTAGGCTATCAAGAAAAAAATCGAGTCTTGATTCGTTGAGACAAACAGACACTCTTAAATGACTGGAGACTACAAAGGGCTGTAAACTGATTGCTGTTCTATATGTGGTTCCCTTGCAGGCGGCCATTGGAATGCTTTCATCTCTACACTAAAGACACCTGAAGAACTCAAAGGGAACGACTTGAAAGTTCAAAAGGAACTCTGTCAAACTTTTTGCCCAAAGCAACAGCTGATAGATAATTAAGCACTAGACGCAGCCTCACATCCATATAGACACAGAAAATTCCAAAAATCTACAAACCTAAAGACATGAAATTTCTTTTAAAATCCTACATTCTTAGCTTCCGTTTTCAGAAAACAATCCGAGTGATTATATTTTACTTATTTACAGCCACCTACACATTGAAAGCTGGACCCGAAGATAATAAACTCCACCTGTTGGACTGTTGAGGCCATTCCAAACACCAGCTGAGATGGTAATTAAAGCGACACTTGGTTCTCGGCCTACCTGGGGTGTTCAACAGCCTGGACATCTTGCAGAAGTAGGAGACGTACTGTTCACAGTACTCGGCGCTGCTGGTGATGGCGCTGATCTGATCCATGGAGGCGCTGTAGATGAGCTGTGTCACCGAGTACTTTTCTGGGTTGTAGCCTACCACCGTCGTCTGCATCTGCAAGTCGTGAGACACTATGGTCCACACTTTGTCCTCTGTGGGCAGAAAAATGAACACAACAGTAAAACATTAGTAGGGAAAGGCTTCTTCAAGTGTCGGAAAATAACTAAGTTACACCGTCCTCCAAAGACACTGGTCTCCCTACGTGCTGTTCGCTCTAATCAGAATATGCGTCTTCATCTTATCAACAGATGTTCTTTTCACACTGACCTTTCAGGCAAAATTAGACACTGCATTGATCTGTCACCAAAAGGCTCTGCACATGTGGAATCAAGCAAGTGAGCAATTATCTCAGCATCATGGACCCTGAACATGAGCAGCAGCAGATATGAGGTAAAGTTAAATAAAAACTCTCCATATATTTCGATTTTAGTTAGGAGGATGGCTGTGAACCTAAGAAAATATCATATTTTAAAAATGTAGACATATGTCCTAAATGCATCCTGGAAAAGCTCTGGAACAAGGTTCAATGCCCAGCACCAAACTGTCATCGCTAAGCACCAATTTCCAGTTGGAGCAGACTAGGATCTCTCGAGAAACAGCCGAGTCCAGGGCTGAAAAAGGGAGACAGGTCATGCCACCATATCTGAAGCAAGCTGCCAGGCTGCTCCAAGAAGCCCAGAACCAAGGACGGGACAATTCTGACATCCATAAGAATTTCCTACAATGGATTAAAAGACATCAAACATATTTAAGACCAGGAATTAATTAAAATGTAAGAAAAAAGTTTAACATTGTAAGGTGCCAGTTAACCAATCATTTTGACTATTGGTCCATACCGGCAAAGAATGAAGCAATTGGCCTCTGGCTCCTAATGAACTGTAATCTAAGTATTCTCTTTATGGAAATATTTCAGTTCACAAAAGAATACTAAATAACACAATGGGAATATCATCATTTTGTAACTTCTAAGTTAGTAGGATCTAAGTAATGATTGCTAATGGCTGGTCTGTGCCCCTAGAGGGCTACCTACAGCACATAGTGCAACAAGGACCTTGCAAGGATGTAGCTGAGCGCTCCCATCCTCTCCTCCTCCTTTCTCCACCCACTCTTCCATGCTTATCTGGCAGCCCTAGTGACCTGGGCCCTTTCTCCAGGATGTCAGGAGCTCCTCCTTGCAGTCTCCTGGTCCTGGACACCTCAGAGCCCACTCCTTCTCTGGTCTTTTCCTCTGCTGTTTCTCACCTCTATGACTGCCATCTCCCTGCCCTGCTACATGCTCCTCCTTAGCATTCACCTCTACCTGACAGCACATATTTAATTAACTCCTTTTCACTCTCCCTACATTCAAAGGTGGGGTGGGGGCATGGCTCAGAGAAGGCCTGCAAGAAAGTAGGAGTTAAAGAGAACAAATTAGCAAAAAGTAAATAGAACCAAGTTGCTGGGAACTGTTCAAAGTCCTGCTGGCTCCCATTGTGGTTCAGCCACAGGGTCCAGAGAGATGGAGAGCCCGCCCTTCTCCAAGGCCTGCTCCCCCTCTGCCTGTTAACATGCCTCTGGGCTACAGTCTCACTTATTTGCTGGAATCAGCTAAAACAAGCTCAATGATGGTGCCCCTGCAGGAATGTACCTCTGTGGGGCACTTACTTTTGCCTGGTTAGAAGGCCTTCTTTGGGTCCACTGACAGCTAGAGAGCTGCTCCCCACACTAGTTTTTTTCTCGCCATTTGTGACTCCAACAACCGAATCTCTTTAGCCCCAGGTCTACAGATTTACCTTCACCAAATTAGAGCTGTATCAATCAGGTTAGTTTTATCTCTTTTTGGCTAGAACTCTCCAATGTCTGGCACTACTTCTCGTTCTTTTTTTCACCAATCCCCATGGAGAGCCTTGTTCTCTAGCAGCAGCCCAGCATCCCTTTCCTTAACTCATGATGAACTACGTTTTCAACCTGACTTCTTTCAAGAGTCATAAAAAAACTTTCTAATATACACAAACTAGTATTCCTGAAGACAAGTGAATTTGTCAGCTTTCTGTACTGTAACACATACCTGAGATCATCAACTTATAAAATAAAAAGGTTTGTTTTGGCTCCCAGTTCTAGAGATTTATGTCCATGATTAGTTGGCCCCATTGCTTTGGGCCTATGGCGGCACATCATGGTAGAAGCACTTGGTCAAGCAAAGCCACTCACTTCATGGCTGGCACATGAAAGGAAGAAAGAGGAAGAGCCTGGGGTCCCATAATACCCTTCAAAGGCAGAGACCAGAAGACCTCACTGGTTAGGCTCTACCTTTTGAAGTCTCCTCCCTCTCACTAGTGCTATGGGTCAGGGGGCAGGTTCCAACACCTGGGCCTGTGGGGGACATTTAAGATCCAGACTACAGCAGGAAACATTGACTTCAAAAACACAAAGCAAAAGGTCATCTGGTTAAGATCTGTTTCCTATACAGCATCAATAACTGTAGGAACAGCAACGGGTTTCTAACATTGTGGTCTTAGTGACCACTGGGTCTCAAACTCTCCCTCCTACCACACCCATTTCAAGACCCCATCCAGGGCACTGTTTTCTTCATGACTGTTGTAAGCTCTTTCACCCACCCAACAGCATCATCGAATACCTACTGTGTGACAGACACACGTTGGGCTAGCAGGGAAACCATGGTACAACTGCATTCATAAAGGTTTGTAGTTTAAGATCAGGCATTTTAATAGGAAAAACACCCAGATAATAACTGTGCACATGCACACACACATATAGTTTCAAACGATCTCTCTATCTCTATATGTACACATGTATTCACACACACATATACATTAAAGTGAAATGACAAGGAGAAAAACAAAATCAAGGAAGGGAAGGATCAGCCGTGTATGGCGATTGCATTTTAAATACAGAGGAAACCTTAAAGGCCCCACTGAGAAGGTGAAATTTGAATAAATAACGTAGTTATCTTGCAGGCCACAAGAGCATCTGGGGGAATATTCCAGAAAGAGGGAATACAGATGCAAATGCTCTAATCCTGTAACGTTTATGTTTCTGGATGGATCCAGGTTACCAGGGGGCCAGTGAGGGAGACAGACGGAGAGTACAGGAGTCAAGGTCAGAGCTGCAACGGGTGGTGGGGCCCGGAAGCAGAGCTTTCCCTGGGATGTGGCTTCTGCTCAAGGACAAGGGATGCTGTTGGCGTGGGGCAGGGGGTAGGCAGCCTGCTCTGACTTATTTGTAGACACACTATTCTTTGCTTCAATAAAGTTATTTTTCAGAGAGGTTTGGGAAAAGATGATAGATACACATGGGTATTTCATAAAGAGATTTGTATAGTATGTATTTTACAGAGACATTTAGAATTTTTTAGTTTAAGACAATTTCCATGGCAATTGTGAGCTCATATCAGTGCATAGGCTGTAATTGATGGCATAAGACAATTAGTGTCCATGCACTTGGCAAACGATGTTGTCATGCTCCCATGCTTCTCCTGGCAGCGGTTCCTGTGGAGCCATTAACCATGAGTGAGAGGCGTCTATTAGTGGATATTAACAAACTTTCAGGAATTCATCATCCGGAAGAGAAAAGGCAGCTACACTGTAGATTTTCCTTTGCTCGTATCTTAACTGGAATCATTAATTCCCTTATCCAAGGTGGGCACTTATTACATATATTATAATCTATGTGCAGAATGTAAATAAAAACTACTGCCTATGGCAAGTTCCAAACTTCAACATTTCATTTTTATGAAGAAGCCCCTGATAAAATGGTGCTTCCTCTGCAGATACTGTCTTTGGATCTCTGTGTTATGAAAATGCCCTTTGTGATTATTAAGAACTTAGTGTTTCTTCTTTCATCTTGAAATCATACATTTTATAGTCATCATATTGTGCTTTGTGGGGAATACAGCTGGTCGAATGAAATATGTCAAACACTAGGGCACAGGGAACGTGCCATGGATACATGTCCACGTCCTTGGCCACAGTGGGTCCTAAAGGTCAAATATCTCGGTAATGACATATTTTATGTGTTCTATACTCCTGTATATATAGATAAAAGTTATTTTTACTTTTTATATCACAGCATCTTGCTAATTAAGCCTAAATTCTTTACTCTGAAAGCTTCCACTATCTTCATTAATATTTTCTGTAAAATGATATATAAAACTTCTTAGACTGGTTATATGCATCATATAACATATACTCCAAATTCCTTAGCTAATGTTTTAGCCAGCTTTCTGTTACCATAACAAAATTACTGAGTTAACAAACTTATAAAGATAAAAGGTTTAGCCTGGGCTCAGGGTTTTGGAAGGTTTAGTCCATGACCAATTGGTCTCATTGCTTTGGATCTGAAGTGAGGATGCATATCATGTCAGGGAGTGTGTGGTGAAGGGAACTGCTTACCTCACAGCTAGGATAAAAGAGAGAAAAAAAGAGGAGATTAGCATCCCACAATCTGTTTCAAGAATACACCCTCAAGGGTGTGGTCCCTAACTTCCTCCTAATAGGCCCTACTTCTTAAAGGTTCTATCACCTCCAATAGCACCATTCTGGAGCACAAGTCTTTAACACAAGGATCTTTGGGGACATTCCGGATTCAAGCCATAACAACTCTGTATTCCTTATTATATTTATACTACAGGCATGACTTTGAGTCTCTTACTGTTAGAGCAAACCAACAGGAAGTAAGCCATAACATAAGCTTTGCTTACAGTTTTAATATTGCACATAAGCCTTGGCTGACTGGATAAAGCTAGCAAATTCAATTTTCAATATCTTTACATTTCTCCTCTATCTTACAGATTATCTCCCACTAACTCTTTCTGTTTCCTTTGGGCATAAAAGTCTTAATGGCCATTATCCTGTTTCAGCCAAACTATGTGTGTGTGCATGTGCACAGTTATTATTTGGGTGTTTTCCTACTAAAATGCCATTTGAACATCAAGTGTGAGAAAGAAAAGAGCAAGGATCTCCGGTTAAACGCTACAGCATCATTCAAAGTTGTTTTCTTCAAACTTAAAGTTTTGCAGTCTTGTTGGAATACATAATATAAACAAGAGAACAAGAGAATAAGCCAGGTTCCTAGGTGAAAATTTTTGAATATT